CATTGCTAAGCCACTGTCCACGGAGCCGTCAGATAGTTATTAGAGGTTTAAAGCAGTCAAAAAATTTTGTGATCACAGGGAATTATAATCATCTAGAAAAGGAATAGAGATATATAAAGGGGCCTATATCGTTAAGTGGAAAGTTATATGAAGTCCCGGATCATGGACACAAGGCATTTAATGTTGATATGCCCATGCTTTTTATTACTAGTCCAGAAGAAGCCCTCTTTGAAGGTTTCTATTTTCCTGGTCAGATTATGCGACAAAATTACAAAAAACAAAATGAGTCTTTAATTCTGTGTGGATTATATTTCGTTAGTCATTAAGTTTTCAGCAGCCTGATGCTATATGTAATAAAAACATAAAAAATGAAAGGAAATTCCAATTTAGCTAAAAATGTTATCAGCTACTATTTTGTATATAAAAGATTGTTAATCTAAGAGGACACGGATTTTCTCCTTTCTCTATGCATCCAACACCAGTGTTTTTATTTCATTTCAACATTTCTGAAATATATGTAATTATTTAATTTATATCTAATTAATTACTTTTCAACAGTAGCAATATAAGATCTTTACCGATTAATAAGCAAGCGTTAGTCAAAGAAAACTAAATACAAACTGCACACAAAAAAATATCGAAGTATTACATAGGTATATATTTGTTGAGAAAGTGTATGAATTAAATTTATTAATACGGCGAATACATTTCAACCGAATAAAAAGTAAATATCGAAACGCTAATAACAACAATTGAAGTTTATCTAAGCGTGAGAAATAGAGGCGGGATAACTTCGATCCAAATTCTTACTACAAACTATGACCTTAATACATACTCGTAGCTATTCCTTAGATATGGTACTATAAGATATGCCGGTGACTTCAACATTTAGAATATTCATTATAATTGGAACATCTAGCAAATCTTGATACTACAATAGGGCCATGTTTCGTCTGTTGCTGTTCAAATCTATTTAGAAATACCATTATATAAATAAATATTTATATCCAATATTTTAACATAATGTTCTGTGTACATAATTATTCAGAATGCCTAAAAATTGTATAAAATCAACTATAAGATAACAAATTATTTTAAAAATAAAATAATAAATAATCGAATAATAATACTTGGGCTGATTAGGGGATTACCATATTTTCTTTAATTTCTTCTTGTTTAACTACACCTTAATAATATCAGCTACACAAATAGTTAAAATAACTCACTTCAATCGTTAAAAATTAACAATAAATTGTATACTATATAATAGTATTTGTTTTGTTGCGTAAACTATAACATAATTGTGCAAATGAATTTGCTGTCCCTGCATAGCATAACGTCAAATGTTTAGTTTTGCTAATTAGCTAATAAGCTTTCATACTTTTTAACGTTACCTGAGATGACTAATAACTATTAAGTTTATTCGATGTAATTTTTTTAACAAAGCTAGCAGCGGGAAGACAGCTTGAGGTATGATGTGATATGGTGACGTCACACACATCCTGTGTTTGTGCCATAGAACACCAATTTTAACAGAACCTATCATATCATAATAGTCTTAAAGTTAACAGCTATGTCAAATTCACTTTTTAGAATTGTATACAACGTGTGACAATAATGCAACAGCAGCGTACGCCGTTAGCGTGAAGCACAAAAATAAAAAGATGTTTTATTTTAGCTAGCACTTGTAGCATAATAAAATAATATTATTCTTTTATATATATTTTTCAACAGAAACAAATAATAGATTTTATGCATCGCCACCTGCTGCAATTATTCATAACGCAATGTTATATTATTATGTGAAAAAGACACTGTTTTTTATGACGTTGTAGGTAGGTACATCATTCTTTGTGTTTTTATATATTATTTTATGAATGAAGGAAAATAACAGTAGATATTTAAAATATAAGTCTATTTTTACTTAATTGTGATGTTTAATTTTTACATCCGACCTGACACGCGACCGTTTCCTCCTTAGAATAATAACATACATATTATGTAGTTTACTTTAGAAAACTAGATAATATAGATTTTTCAACCGAGTCCACGTCCATTTTTGCTATCAGGATACTTTGTGATTAATATGTGTGTTTATATATTCTTACGTATTCGGCTCTGTTCAATGTTTTTTGTTTACGGCTTAAAATGACCTATATTTATACAGGTACCTATAATTTGGATTTGGAACAGTTTGTACGGTATTCACGGTATTATAGTACAATATCGTGTACCTTTCGTCAATTTGTTTCTGTCATTAAATCGGACGAACTATTGTGATTGTTTGTTTGAGTATAGCGTACTATAACAACTCAACACTGACGTGATTGTTTTTTATATCGTGTTACGTAACGTCATTTTTCTAAATTTAATTGAAAGTAGTTTACGACGCCTGTACTGTAACTGTACGTAATCCACAAGGGTTAAGTAATTTAAGTTCGAATTATAAAATAAGAATTTAAATAAATTATCAAACGATGATATACACTTATTCTGTTATAAAAATTAAATTATAATTTAAATGTTACATTGAAATAAAAAAAAACATTTTTAGAAGAATACCATCAACTAAATACAAACGACGTGGTTTGCCATAGGCTCCACAATTATTATAACAATTAGTTGGAAGGCTATAATTTACTGGACATACCAATGCTATGATCGATTTTAAGTGATTATTAAATGTCAAAACTTACTTTGATTTGCTTGTATTTCGTAACTTTTCATTTAAGAGTTTCTAACCTAACCTAACCTAGGGTTAGGGCACTAAGAAATGCTATGAAAATGTTCTTTTGGCGCTTCACCGGTTGCGGCCGCTGCCGCAGCATGCTCGCTCGCTCGACTTACACGTTGTGGTCACAGTAACCTAAAGTTCGCTTCGGTCGTCATCGCTCCTATATAATATGACTTTGCCCTAGACTAACAATAAAAAACTCATGTTTATTTTAGCATAATAACTAAATGATTTTGAATATGTCACATTGTTATATATAGAAACGTATTATTTTAGTTGATCGTTATATCAAATGTTGGCATAGATTTAAAATTTTAGATAAAATAAATCTATTATCAAATAAAATTGTATAAATAGTTTTTTATTTTTCATGTAATTTATACGCAGTGAGCGGTATTGAAACAACAATATGCAAAATTTATTTCGAGCAGATGAGACGTAACTTGCGAATCGTGGTCAGTGTTGGTAGAGTTGACGCCGAATTACGACGCGTTGACGCTATATTGAAAGTTGAAATTGAACTGAAAACTGAGAATACTGATACAATATAGGGCTGTCGTACAATGTTATAATACCAACTCAAGTCCTCTTAGGACATTGCAATGTGAGCTTTATATTGTGTCATGCAAAGATAAAATTTATTAATTTAAGTAAAAAGTCCACAACTCCTCGACATAGGTTCACTATTTTAATTTATATTTAAAAAAAAAACCGTATGTATTGAGATACAAAAAGTTTTTATCAAGATGGGTAGGGTTAATTCGTTACATTGTAAGACGGTCCATAATATGCAGCAGCCTCTATACATTATTGTATTAACTGGATTATTTTTCTTAAAAATGTTTACTACGATTTAGAGCTAAGACATATTACTTATGAGTAAAAATCCATTGTGTTTAACAATATTCCCGAATTAAGTAAAGAAAAAAACTGTAAAAAGTGAAAGAAAAACGATCTAGCAAAGGATTAAGACTTGGAAATTTTGTTCCGTTAATTTAGTTAAATGTTAACACATTGTATATTTTTTTGTTTGTTTATCTCGCAATGCAAAATCGTATCAGTTTAGAATCTAGGCATAAATAATAAGGTAGCAGCACAGCAGCAGCCTTACTATTTTACGGTCTTATCATTGCATCACCGATTTACCCGAACAGAACCCGTTTTTAAATAACACATTGCGTGACGTCACACTACAACAATTTTTTTTAATTCTTTTATAATCTAACTGTTAATTTATTTATATTCAAATTCTTAACTATTAAAACATCGTTGAAGATCGCTGGTATATATGCTGACAGCTTGTAATCTACATAATAATCAGGGTAAATTTTTTAAAGTTATTTTATAATCTAAAGGTTCAAAGATCCCTTTAAATACTATGCGGCCGAAATACGAAACGTTTTGACAAGATCTTTTTTGTGTTCAAATGATTTTAAATGGTTTCATATTGCAGTCCTAAGGTAAACAGTAGTGGAGAATTCGATACGTTTATATTAAATAACAAAGAGAATTAGATAAGAGAGATTTCATTGTAAATTTAGTTGCCTATGAATGCGAAGGTAAATGCTTGCATAGCCGCTATTTCTTTTACGGACAAGTTATTTTTAAACTATTTAAATTGGGAAAGTGCTGTATCCGCGAACTAAACGTAGTCGCGTAACGATTGTCCTGATGTCTGGTTGCATAAGTTTGCTATACTTATTATATTATTTTTACTTTTTTATTTACTTTATTACTTTCTTAACTTAACTACTGATGCGATTTAGAGATAATGCAACAGCTACATAACATTGTTAACCTAGCAACAATATTTATGTTTCAATTACTAATTTTCCCTATATTCAAATAAGGTTGTGGTTTAATTACATTTATTGATTCTTAAGGCAATAAAATTATTGCAAAATACCTTCGGTCATAAATCGTTTGTGTAGCACCTAACATAATTAAATGAACCTATCGAATATTGTCAATTGTAAATATACTTTTACTATCTATTAATAGCCCTTGCGTCTTGTCAAAATCACAATATAAAGTAGAATATTACAGGGTACATTGTATAAATTAGCCGTCTAACAGATAAAAACAGCCAAGCAACAGGACAAACTCCAAACAGATCGTTTCACATGCAAAAAACGCTTAACGCGGCGCACTAGCTCTTACAAGCATGACAAAAAAGTTGGTAATGTACACTAGATTTAACTTTTCATTAGATTGAGTGGAGAGATCATGTTGCCTCCCGACCGTTGCAAGTTTAATATTTAAGGTATCACTGTGACTGCGGGTCGCATTGTAGGAGCCGAACAATCGATGGATCACTCTTGGCTCCCTCGATGAACTCCTCGAGCGAGAGTTTCCCGTCATTGTTTCTATCCATTTGACGGAAAATTTTGTCAGTTCTCTTCTCTGGTGTTGATTCGTCTTCGGGCATTTTCATAACGGATCCAACCATTTTATAAATTGCCTGAAATATAAAATAATTTATAAATAATCTAAATTATAAAAGTGGCTTGCTTCAAAGCTCTATTTGCTTGGTCGTTATAATAATTTATTAATTAATATGATCGTCAATCTGTCTGTCTGAGGAGGCGGCCGCCCTACACTGCTTGCTGCCACTCAAGGACCTTTCTTTCCTATCGGTTGCTCTTTGAGGGCCAGCCCATTGCCACTTTAGCTTGCCGATTCATTGCGTAGGTTTGCCGATTCATTCATTATGTCGGTTGCTCTGGTTCTACTGCGGAAATCTTCATTAGGAAGTCTGTCACGCAGAGAAACTCGAGCTTAGCCCTCACCCTGGCTCCCTGAGCGACCTTCAGCTTCCTCATACGGATAGCAGATGGAATGGATTATAAGGCTATATATATATAATGAAGTTAATACTTTAAATTTCATGGGAATCCCTGTTTTCATTTAGTTAAAATAAGTGTATAGTAAGTAGACTTTTTTTGTATGGAGAATGGGCCCACCACAAATTTTGGCATAACTTAATGAAATACATGTCGATTTATTCCTTATAACGTTATACAAAATTATACAAAAGTAATATTAGTTTTATCGTATCTAACGGAAATACCGAGAAATTAACAACTGAAATATGAATATGATTTAGGCTTCGGTATAAATAATAACTACATACCATCTTTTTAATAAAATGTGTAAAAATATTGGGGAATATAGTGCTCTTAATGACTGTGAAATGGCGCTAGTATCAACGTAAAAGCCAGCTACTGAGGACTTTTATACCCCTGGTTACTAATGTCCAAAATATTATCGCATTTACAATAAAATAATAACCGATTTATTTATTTATTGAAATAAATAATAAATGATATAAATGCCGGTAGTGGCGCCATCACTTGAAAAAAATGTGTAAAAACTGTGTAGTGCTCTTGGTGCCTATGAGATAGCGCTAGTATCAGTACTAGTATCAGCAAGATATTGAAGACTTTCATACCCCTGTTCGTTACTCGCATTTTATTTTCATATTAAATTAGCGAGAACATCAAAACAACTCTTTCTATTCAGATTTCATGATTCCGATTAGATTTTCATAAAATCTTTAGGCCGTCTATAATAAATTGGTATCTTTTTTATGTGTAATAAAATAAAGTTACGTTAAAATTTCTAGTGGGCCCAAAAAGATTGCCCCTTTAGTAATCTTATACAACTATAAACGTATAATACAGTGGATTTCATTTATTACGACCTTGGTTGTTGCGACCATTTACCTATAGCGCCGTTAAATCTATGTCCCTTGAGTTTAAAGCATATTTTAGTACAGAATTGATGTGGCTATAGCGACTTTGGATGTAACGCCGAGTTCGGGTGTAGCGACTGTTTTTAATGAATCATTCGTAACAAATTCCCAGAAATCCCATGCAGATATTGCGACTGGAGTCGGCCGCCAAAGACACAAAGATTTCTTTCTTTCACAAACATTTCTTATCTTTTGTTTACATCCACACAGATGGTCAACAAGTGTGGAGACCTTTACCTTTTGTTTATAGATATCAGCTAAGTAGGTAGGGAAGCATGTACGTTTCGGAGTTAAATTTATGGTTCAGTTACAAAGTGATATTCTGAGTAGCAACTGTAATGTATTGAATTTGTTACCTTTGTTTGTAACGACTTTCGAATATAACGACGAAAATAGAGTGGTCCCTTCATCGTTGTTATACATAGGCTGCACTAAAAGTATCGGGAATGGAATATTTCCACTGTTCCTGTCATATTAAAATCTTTTTAATTGAAAAGTCCTTGGTATTTTTAAAATTGAATACCATTTATTTATTTAAAAAAAGATTCTCGGTCTTGTCACAAGGTTTTGTCAAACTTGTTTAGTCGTTGAGAAAATGGAATTGACTCGAGAAAATTCAAGAGCGATGATTTATTATGACTTTCGAAGTGGTTTAACACAAAAACGGTGTGTTGACCGGATGATTTCTGCATTTGGTGATGAAGCCCCATCCAAAACCACAATTTATCGCTGGTTTGCTGAATTTCAACGTGGACGTGTCAAGCTCAGTGATGATCCCCGTCAAGGTCGTCCAAAAACTGCAGTCACCCAAGAAAACGTTGATGCTGTGCGTAAGCTGATTCAGGAAGATCGACATGTGACATACCGCGAAATTCAGGCAACTTTAGACATTGGCATAAGTCAAATACAAATAATCTTGCATGAACAATTAGGTGTCAAAAAGTTGTTTTCCCGATGGATACCGCATTGGCTCTGTGAAGAGCAAAAAGCGGCTCGCGTTACTTGGTGCGTCAGAACTCTCGAAAGATTCCACGCAGGATCCTCAAATGCTGTATACAACATTGTATCAGGTGACGAATCCTGGATATACGCGTACGAACCCGAAACAAAAAACCAGTCATGAGTATGGGTGTTCGAAAATGAGTTAAAGCCAACAAAAATTTTTCGTTCACGGAGTATTGCAAAAAAAAAATGGTGGCCACGTTTGTCTCCAAAACCGGCCATGTTACGACTATTCCTCTTGAGGGACAAAGAACGGTTAATGCAGAATGGTATGCTAGCATTTGATTGCCACAGGTCGTTTCTGAACTCCGTAAAGAGAACTGCAACCGCCGCATCATTCTCCATCACGACAATGCGAGTTCTCACACCGCACACAGAACAAAAGAGTTTTTAAAGCAAGAAAACATAGAATTATTAGACCATCCGCCGTATAACCCCGACCTAAGCCCTAATGATTTCTATACTTTCCCTAAAATAAAGAATAAATTGCGTGGACAGAGATTTTCATCACCTGAAGAAGCTGTGGACGCCTACAAAATGGCCATTTGGAGACCACAACTTCCGAATGGAATGGTTGCTTCAATGATTGGTTCCATCGTATGGAAAAATGTGTCAAATTTCGCGGAGAATACTTCGAAAAGCAATAAATACATTTTTAAATAGTAATGTTGTGTCACTTCCTTGATTCCAGAAATTTTCAGTGCCGCCCTCGTACCCGAAATCCACTGTATATTCTTTACTTCATATTGACCGTTGCTCATTATTGATATTAAGCTGAACGCACATTTGTCCGCACCGTACGCATCGTATGCGCCGTACGCGCTGAGTTTTACTGATGGCCTCGCACGTGTGCACGTACGCATCGTCCGAGCCGTACGCAAATCTTTTGTATTACCAACGAATTTTGTAGTTTTTTCCAACTACTGGTGTGAAATTGACCGCTCGAAATCACTATGGAAAGAAATATAGTAATAGCCTGCTTATCGGCAGAGGAAGAAGAAAATAAAATTCGAAGAAAAAGAAGATTCTGTATTCATGACATTAATTTAAAAAGGCAATTGTTTGGAGAATATGTAGGGGATATACTTTATTTAAAGATGAACGATTAGATGATGATGAACGCTTTTTTAGATATTTGCATTTAACATACAAGAAATGTCAAGAATTGCTACATATACTAAAACCATATCTTTCTATGAAAAACTTAAGTTTTAGAAGGCCAATCGAACCAGCGAAAGGACTTGTTGTACGTTCGAGGTAAGTATTTTTATTAATAATTAAGTAATCAGGTATAATTGGGTTTTTGAATTAAATTTAACTATTTTTTTAGTTCAGTATTTAAATAATTTATCACTGATAATTGATGCAAAAAAAATTCAAATGATGTACATATAATTCAAAACGAATTAATTAAGTTATAAAAATACAAAAATTATCACGTAAGTCGAAACTACCAGTTATAGTGGAAAATCCACTAAGTTGGCAACATTAGACAACACTGAGTATCAGCACGCGCCAAAGGCGCTGCGTTATATGACGTCATCAGCATGCGTTCTTCAATATTCGGATACCTACAGCATTTTATAAAAGTCGGCGCGTACCGTGGGGGTGTAATTGTTAGATACGATTTTATTCGATAAAACGTTGGAATCTTAATTTTTAGGCGATAGTAGAATATACCTTGCGCTTTCGCTTAAGGCATGCAATAGAAGATTAGAACATTGTGAAAGTTTACATTATGACATTTTCATTATTAAATATAATGAAAATGTCATAATGTAATTGTTAAAAAAATCATAATGTCGTCCAGGCCAAATTTCGGTCACGGCGGCTAGTCTCTTTTGAGTCAATTTACAGGACTATAACACACGAGTGGGTGCGCAAGCACAGTTGCACTCTCTATTCCTCATAGTCCAGGGCACGGGGGTGAAATACAACCAACTTTCTGACAACGGGGTATTATTGAAAACTACTAGACAGAAAAGTCCAATAACTGATTTTGATCCCACTCGGGGTTCAAACTCTATATGATCAGTAGTTGCTCGAAAGACAATAAAACAGTCAAAACAGTCAGTTTAACGTAATGATGCCGCTGGTTGTGGCGCAAGAAAATCCAACAACAGACAGCAGCGTCACAATAGACCTCTGGTCATCAATCCGCCAGCCAAGAGGGACGATTAAGGCAAATCCACCCTACAACGGAACAGGCTAATGTCCAGCAGTGGTCTTTTACAGTCCAATAGAGAAGAGAGACCAATATATAAAATAATTGATTGAAGAAACAACCTTGATATAAAATGTAATAACAGGCTTAACTGCTGTGCGCCGTTTTTTTTTTACGTAATTTCTCATTATTAGACGATCAATAGCTAATGGGATTGACGATATCAGCCGTGATAAAATGAGAAACTAAGTACCAAAATGATACATGAATTTTATCTGTTTTATTAATAACTAGTTTTTAGCCCCGACTTCGTCCATGTAAAAACATTGCAGATCTATAGTAGTGGACCTGGGGCAAACAATTCAATTAACGAAAAACTACTTTAAACTCAGTTTTCTTGCTATTATCTTGAAAACTGCGAGCGATAGGCGAAAATGGTTAAAATAAAATTAAAAATCTATGAATTTAACGTCATCATTACAGCCTTTCATAAGTCCACTGCTGAACATAGGCCTCCCCCAAGGAATGCCACAAAGCACGG